ATTTAGATGACCCCCTCCCCTACCTACACCAAATTGATAGCACTACGTAGTTACCTGTAGGCCTAGCCTACACGTCTTATATAGCCCACCGGCTGACACAGGACGTTAAACTAGAATAATAATAATAATAATATGAGTAGAAGTCTTAGCAGTTTCGACAGGTTACGGTATTGAAATAGCATCTGCATAACCAATACCCATTTTCAGACCCATTTTCAGACTCATCTTCTGAACAGAGAAAAGGTTATTCAGCGTTATATGCACATTTCTTTCCCTTCTTCTTCTTCCCATATGAAACTCCTGGTGATGAAGAAGCCCATGAGTTGGACTTTGACTCACTCATAGGCTCAGTGAAATCCTCATCCTCAAGAAACCTAGATTCTCGTTTTGATACTGCTTCGTGTTCTGTTGGCGAGATTCGCTCAACATAAGTTATGCCATGAGATATGTCAGCTTCTTCTAGTCCATCGTTAGTGATATGTCCGCCAGGTTCTGTGCAAAGAAGGTTCAAAGAAAGGTCTGACAAAGAATCTCTAGACCTATTTTGGAAGGTCGCTACGTTCGGTGTATCTGTACACGGCCACACGTTAGCTTATGCTTACTTTACAAAAGAACTCCGCTGACAACATGGTTTGATTCTTACCTTGTAGCGTTTTCACCATGAATTTTTCACATGTATCCAATCCCTGAACCAGCACGTTCAATTGTGTTTCCAACTGGCTGCGCTTTGCTCGGCTCGCCTTGGACTCGCCTGCGATATCTGTTACCACACTAGAGGCAAGAGAAGTAACTCTGATCGGCGAAACGATATCGCTAAGTCTAGCGATGATATCTTTTTCGACAGCTTCAACAGCAACGTCGTCTACGAAGCGTTCAAAGGCGACCTAATAGAAAAGCAGACATGTTAGCACACAACTTTCGAAAGGGGATTCACTAGAATTTTGTGGGTAGCGACTTACTTTATAGTAGGCTTGCATGCAGTCGAGCGCCTCGGAGCAAGCATACTGATCCAAATCAGGGTTTCTGTGCACTACAAGCGCATCTAGTAACGGCCGGTAATCCATTTCTACATATCGGGATTTCCCAGACAGGTGAAGTGAGCCTATGTCGAAGACATCTTGAATGATGCGTGTGAGTTCTGCAGTAGTTCTTTCCTTTCGGACTTGTTGCACTGTCTCTCTAAAGTAGGGATTGTAGGTGATTGGGTGCCCGCGCTGATGTGAAGCAAGCAGTTCTGCCGTCTTGCTTTTCACATCTTTCGAAATCTTATCGAGTTCAGGTTCGACTAGGATTTGAAATAATGCACCACATGTAGACGTATCCGAAACGTGGGAGATGAGGTATCGGAGGAATGTCCTCACCGCACTTACGACTTGTACAATGTGAGCTCTAGCAAGCTCTTCCCACAGCGATGACTGCTCGAAGAAGAGGTCCGATACTACCATGGGGTTGAAGGTCCCGGGGAGTTCGCGGCCACGGGTACGGTTCATGAGGGAATCGATACGCTTGAGGAACTCGGGCCGGCTAAGAACATTTTCCTTCGGTCTATCAATTTGTAGAATACTTGTATCAGAAGAGTCAGTGATTACAAAGCGGTGTCCCTTGCGGGCCATTGTCTCCGAAAAAGACTGATTGAGGTTCTGCACGACGGCACGGACGCGTTTCTGGTAGCCAGCATCAGTCTTCGCGTCGCCAAAAAAGTCATCGTTGTAGGTCCCGTCGATGGCAGCTTTAGTGAGGGCCTGGCATGCTTGACTGAGAGTGACTAGATATCGGCGTTGTTCTTCGATACTAGCCCGAGGCTGGCCTAGCTTTTCGAGTCCAGCGCGACAAGCGGCAGACTTGAGTTCAATCTCCTCCACAAGACTGGGGAGTTCCGCTGCGATCTGGACAAGAAGAAGTTTGCTCAGTCGCTCTCTCAATGGCACGATACCAAGGATAGTTTTGGGCAGCGTGGGCCATATGCCTTTGGAAAAGAAATGACTTTCCTCTTCGTCACGATTTGAAAGTACCTCGGATCCAGTTTCTGAATCCATGTTCTTGAGAATGTGCCATCCAAAACGGAATTCTACATCAAGATTCTTAGCGAGCGAGATATACATGGTTTCGCTATCAGATCCTGGGATCAGGGTGTCAGGCTTGGTGATCACACCAAGCGTGCGGGTTCCAGTTCTGTCGGCAGTTCGGGCAAGCTTCAACACAATCTGGTTGGCATAATCGTTCTTTGCAGATACAACCGCGAGGATAATGCTCCTGGGCTCTTCCATGTATGACTTGACAACATCTTGTACGAGCTCGATATCAGCGGCGGATTGCTGCTTTGTCTCCGAATGGATAAGGCCTGGCAAGTCTACGATCGTAAGATGCGGCCGATCGGGACCGGATACTTCAACCCGCAAGAGATCTTTTGAAAAAGCTCGACCAAGGCTACCAATGGCCATGGCTGTTTTGGCATTTTCAATCAATTCTGGGAGTGCAGCGAAGCTGTCGAGCGTCTCGCGAAAGTTGCTAAGGGATACACGTTCTACTTTGCTACGCGAGCGGTCTGGAACGATGGAGACGCTGACGCCAATCTTAGATGTCTTTCGTAAGACTAATTCGGTTGGAAAGCGAGTGCATAAGTTGCTCTTGACTGGAAAAGAGACACCGGAGATAGCTTCAAGGACAGAGCTTTTGCCGGAAGACTGATCGCCGCAAACGATGATCTGGGGTAGAGAGACATAATGGTCGATTCCCTGAGAGCGTAGATGATCTATAGAGTCGAGTAGATCTAGTTGATCTTTTGAGCACAGTTCATGGACGACACTGGTGTCGAACGACCTGATAACCATTATGAATTTGGATGAAGACCTCGTACGATGTGCACTTTGTGCGCGTGGTGGTTGAATTGAGGAAATGATTATTTGGAGAGTTTGCCCTCGGATCTTAGTCCAACATATGGAATAAACAAATTGTGAAGATCGAACTGATGAGTGAAAAGTGACAGCCACCAGATCCAAGTTTTATGCAAAGGGTTGAAGCTAAGGTCCCGCTTCTCATGTCTTTATGAAAGTATAGTTCAGCCTTCACCGTATGGTCAGATCTGCTACCTCATTGCATACGGCATATGAAGATACTGCTCCCTAGCCTATAGCCAAATTTCTGCATGATTTTCCAATGTGCATTAGTCTGAGGAGGGAGCTGCAGGCTGAATATCGCACAAGCAAGCAGTGGTCTGGTGCTGTGCACTGTGGATATCTGAGCAAAGTTGAGTGGGATCGAGTGCGGGTGCTAAGCAGTGGACTTCGATCAATACCCGCACGTGCATAGTGCTAAATGCTAATCCTGTCTTATCTGTGCTCAACTACTGCATGTTGCGTTGGTCTTATCTTCCATTTGCTTTACGCACATATCTTCTGCGTTAGGCTACGCAGCTCAGCCATTAAGACAACTGATGATAGACCAGACATGAGCCTACCTGCATTCTACACATGCATCTGAGCCATCAGCATCGGTAGATCTTTCGATGCGGTCTAGAAACTGGGCGTTTACCAGCTTCCCCACAAATCACAAGCCAACCCCGGCATCTGCCGACAGCCATTCGGTCAAGCCATGCAACCGGCACCGCAAACACTTCACACCTCCATCTAGCATTTGCATCAATCCTTTCCCAACCTCTATGCATATCAAGTTACTATCAAGTATTTGACGATATATATCTACAAAAGTCGTGCAGACTTGCCTTTGACATGGTGAAGAGCCTGGTCCTTATTAGATCATTCTTTCCACGTGTGTGCACGCAGGCGTCTTCAATCAACTTCACAGCTGTCTCCTATAGTAACAATGAAAGATACGTGAATCGTTCTACAAGCCGAGGAACTGGAAGTGTAAATCTTCTTGTCTTGATATCGCGCTACCAAGACGCTTATCAGATACCAAGATCAGCCTTCCGTTTATGTAACTATGTAAGTGGTTAGTTAGTTATTCTACTTGATAGTTTGCGAGAGGTGGAATAAGCTGCCTTATGGAAAATGTCGGAGGAGCAGCAAATGCGGGCTGTGAGTGGCCGTAACTTGCGCTAGACCCCAAATCCGTGGGGGAAGGCTGAAGCGCTTACTATTTCTCTTTTCTTTTCTTTTTATGCAGCAACTCCTAGTATCTAGTTAATGCAGCCTTGGGGATTGGATTGACGAGTTGCCTAAATGATGCGGTCCGCAGCTCTCGATAAGAGCGATTCGACCGTGCTCTGACCGGTGAAGATTGCATCTAGCTAGGTAGGGGTGCGGGGAGCGCAAGGATGTGGAGATTAAGTTGCAGCGAGGCCTGATGAAGGGAGCAGCAGACTACTGTCAGATAGGGTACGGTAGAGCTCCTGTATTCTCAACTCAAATGTGGGTTGGGTTGTCCTTATAGAATATTTTTATCGCTAGTGGTCGAGAGCCGTTGGCTATCTGGCTATGTAACCAGGCGAATGGAACCATGAGAAACTCGCCGTGGATATTGACCTGCACTAGAGTCGAAATGCTTCCTGCATGCGGAGTGTAAAGACATCGCATACATCTTGTCATACCTGGAAAAGCACCTTCTTTACCAGATACGATGACGGGAAGGCCCAAGTAAACACAGTCCACATGCAAAAAGCTGTTTAGCATTACGTATTACAACCTAACACGTACCCCAAACTCGATATGTATATATTTACCCCCACGAAAGACTTCGTTGTGAACGGCTGAGATTGTCCCACAGTGTCGCTTAAATGTGTACTTCTACGATTGGTCAGCATCGGGGGTATTGACCATTACGCATGGCAAGCTGACCCGCATTGATAGATTATGATAAATACGAGCCATAACACAGCAGTTGTTAGCGCCACTTATCGCAGCGAAACAAGCTAACATGTGGTTCGTCCAACGCCATTAACAGTGAGAACATTGAGTGGTTTGAATGAGCAAACCTCAACGCTTGTTTCTCAACCTTAATGGCCTGACTAGCAGTGACATCAGGCTTTTGCGACATGAATAAGTGTTCAATAACTGCGATTTCTTCCCACGATTTAAAGTGTGCAGGTTTGGCAGCGTTGCCTTATATTAACGGAGTATATGGCCTTTGTTCGAACGCACATAGCGCGCATTGGCCTTGCCTACCGCAAGAGTTAGCGAAGAGAAATGAACAGAATACTAAGGAACACAGCCGATAATAAACGCCCTCTATTTAGCTTCCTACCCAGGCTGGACGGTCAACGAAGCTCATCTCCCTAACCATCGATTTGTAGAAGATAGAACATGCTGAAATATTAACATCCAGCGCGCCGACGGTGCTTGTATACCGCTCTTATACTCGCTGTTACAGTGCTTCAGCCTTTACATACTTTCATGCCAATTTACATTAAGCCATCACTGTCGGCGTTGCTGTGAATGCATTGGTGCTTGTTCACTAGCATGTCCTTGTATCCTTTCAACATTCGCTGTGGCAAGCAAACCCTGGCCGTCCTGCTGCGCAAGAAATATGATGTTTTTCTTATCACGATCTAGACGTGTGAATCGTATTCAAGTTGGAACAGTGGCATGTGAGAGCGGGGTAGGGCGTGGGGGCTTGCAGCATGCACTAGCTAAGTAAAGAATATGGGTGCATTTAGATTTCACATCAATGCTTGCATGCATCGCTCGGCACTCGACTCACTGCTGTCGTATTCGAGAGCAAAAATGCTTATTTAGGTTGCAGGACAAGACGGTCTAGAGAGGCAGAAGAGCGAAAAGGAAGAGCAGATGTAAGCTATACAACTAAGCTGGGATGCAAGCCTGATGACTGCCTGCATCTACGCCTACCTACCTGTCTGCCTGGGGCTGTGCCAGGCTGCGTTGCAGTAAAAGTTGAAGAATATCATAGTTAATCAACGATGCACTGTGTCTTTATTCTGCCAGACTTTCTGCAGGTAATCATATGAAAGGTTTGAAGCTGAGAGAGTTTAAGCCAAGATTGGAAAAGACAGACGGTAACATGGCGTCTGGGATGACACAGTTTCATCAAGCAGCCAACCGAATCGGTGTTTCGGGAGCTGCAGCGCTGAGGTCAGAGGCGTGTCGCTTTGATTGCGCAGTCATTTATCAACTCAAAGATATCGCAATTACATTGCGCTCGAAATGTTACTTTGTGTAGCCAAACTGAGCTAATAGAAGGGACTGTTATCATAAGCTTCACTTGAAAGGACCTCGGCGCTTTGTTGGGCTACCGTTAAGCCCTTATAGATTACTATCTCTAGGGACATTACGATCATTTCTTGTCCTCAGATTTCAATAATTATCAGTCCACATCGCCTTTCAGCTTCCGTTCCATGTCTTTGCATCTTGTGCATGATAAACTTCACGATCGGTACATAACATGCAATAAAAAGGTGAAAGTCCATGATCTCATCTAAAGAGCAGTTTTCCAGCCACAGTAAAGGTATGCCAGATAGTGGCAGAAGAACAAAGTATGTGGAATTACAAGAAGATACGAAGATCCGATAAAGCCGCTTTACTGGGATTGTCAGCAGACTTGATGCATCCTGCGCTCATGCACCTCGCATCGCGAACCACTCAGTTCGATACAGCACAGTCTAGCCTTATAGAAACACATCTAGTTTCTTTTGATCGGAAGCCAAGGATGTGGCACTATCTGATTTGTGTAGCTGAATGCGTCACTATGTTGTTCACTTCCAGATGGAACAGTCGCTCAGCTGCGTTGAATTTACAGCCACTTACAGTTTGATTCATATGTTACATGGGCACCCAGATTTTTGTAGCGACTTGCCGCAAAGCCCACCTTCCACTAGCAACCGAATTCTGAGCATCCCCCGTTTCACTATGTCCGTGTTCATGGAAGTGTTCAATCACCTTGTTTTACCACCACAGCTTCCCGACAAACAGGACACCAACATCGAAAGCATTGGTGATGCTATCATCGTCCGACTCATTCAAGCTACATCTACCCTGAGCCGACTTACTAGCCAAGAGCAGTCATCTCCCTGGTATGCGATCCGTCAGTACCTTCGTCGCTGCCAACATCTCCACGTAAATGGTCGGCTCGAGAAGCAGACAATGATCTCCAAATTTCTCAACTTCGATCAGGAGCAACCACTTCTGCTACATATCGCAGAACAAAACGCGGCGCTTATCGTTCGGTACAATTGCGGGTATGGCTCCTGCTCACGGTCATGTGCACAACATGAGCCCCGTAGCTGACTAACTCTATAATAGTGCCCAAATTAAAGCTGTTGTCTTTGAAGCTTTCGAACTATCGCCCCCATCCGCCGAAGTTCTGGCTAGTGAAGGTGCCCTTACCTGCGATTTTCCGGATTGCTCAGCTCAGATACCCTTCCATGAGTTTCGGAAACCGTCGTTTCAACAAGCACTTGCCGACTTCCTGGAAAAAGGCAGTATAGAACCCCTGAGATGCTTTCAGGTACTTGCGACAAAAGCGCAAACCCCGATAGTCGAATCGCGTGATACGGGAAGTCCAGGCCTTGTAACGCACCTTCTCATACCTTTGCTCGAGTCAATTGGGTCCTCGATAGACGAAAATGCTCCTCGCTTAAGGAAACGGGTTCGTGATGACGTGAACATCGAAGCTACGGAATTTCCGTGGCGCAGATTGCCTCTCTGGATGGCATTACGCGTGGGGATCCAGAGACAACTACAAATCTCGCTGGGAAACGAGGGCGGGAGAGCTTGCTACAAGTTCTTGATCGTCACTCTACTTGTTGGGCTTCTAATTGAATGTCCTGGAAGATTGGCGCCTGAGCTGACGATGATCCTGCGGGCCAAAATTTGTCGTCGTCTTGCAAAACTTGAGCAGGAAAAGGATCAGTCATTGGAAGTTTACAGCCAACTATTCAACGCTACTACATCCTTCTTCAAGAAGAGCATCACCCAAGTGACACAGTTGGTCGATTTAGCGTGGGAGAAGTTCAAGCGAGAGACAACACGACCTATTCCTCGGCTACCCACACGTGTTGATCCGCAAGCACAATCTCTGTCTCTTCCCAACAGTGGATCATACCTTCAGAGTGTTATGGAGTCACCTCGCTCACGGAAGAGAACATCCCTATCTTTGCAGCTTCCATTGCTAAATGGTACCGCGATTGAACAAGTTGAGCAGTTTACAGATGTGTATCATCGATTGACTGAATTGGAGAGCAAAGTCGAGAGTGGAGAAGAACCTCAATCAACTGAAGACCTTACCCTCGAGTTGTTTTGCGAAAAGCTAGCAGACGCGATACTTGGTCTCATTGGCAGTGTTGGGGCAGCGTACGACTCCGATCCTGAGCAAACTTCCATCTTCATTCTAAGTCTTTTTAGACTTTGGGTGAGGCTGGATAAGTATATCATAAAGATTTTTCCTATGATTCTGGAGTACCATCCAGTGTTTACCCCTGAACTTTTAGATGTCTTGCATCTACCGACATCCGCCGGAATGCGGCGACTTCGTGACATCCAGAGTCATATTCACCGTAGATGCGAGGGGTGTAAGTATCGAAAAACTATATTTTCTGAGACCAAAAAGAGCTGCTTTGTGTCGAAATATGTTTCCACTTCTGAATCCATGCAAAAACTCCACCAAAAGATAAAACAAGCATCGGAGGTATCACGCCAGGCGAAGACATCCGAGCTGGAAAAGTGGTGGTCTGATTTTGACAAACATTCTGTGGGCATCTCTGGAGGTACATGTACCTGCACATTCAAGCGCGATGGGACGAAAGATATACGGGGATGTACCAAATGCTGGCATTGGCGAGCTCGGAACCGCATGAACATCTATGCGCACGAAGATTTCCTTCCTAGCGATACCATTAAATCAGCAGCAGTCATCTTCGAGTTGGGTATTCCAAGGTCTTTCGCTGCGTATCGCAATGCAACGTGGAAGATTCTCATGCTGGCATACCCTCGCAAACCGCAATCTGGATCGCCCACAATGCTCTTGAGAGACTACGACCCGCTCACAGCATACGCATCGGAAAAATCCACTGGAATTACTATTGCATCGAAATCTAAATCATTCCGTGGCACGCATTACAAAGTTGGTAAGAGAAAAATGAGGGTATCCGAATCCGATGTTCTTTACCCTAATGGATTAGATTTTTCATACTTCGATATGGATTCTAAGACCTGGGTCAAGGAGTTCGACAAACCGTTCACCTTCCAACATGTATGTGGAGTACATGTGCCCCTTTGGCTTCGCGCCTCCGCGATACCAAGCTCCTTGCACCCTCCTACTGTAACAACTGGGCCATCTTCATATGAAGTAGTCGTGTCGGAAACGCAATGTCCATCTAACGTGTCGGTACATGAATTCACGGCTTATCAACGACTACTTTCAGGAAAGAGTTGTCGATGGTTAATAATGTTGGTTGAGCTGGGCGCATCAAATGTGAACTTCAGCAACGAGAGTACAATGCACATGTTCAATCATCTTGCGACTCAAGCAGGACCAGCAACGCCTGACTATGATACGTTCGGCGATATCCATGCGGTGTTCAGGGACATGTCATTTTGCGATTCCCTAGCCGCACAAGTAGAAAAACGTCTCAGCGACATCACATCGAACTGGCGTGAGATTCATTGTATGGACGTCATGATCACGTTAAGCCTGCGCCTTTATGACTTGGCAGCTCCCATGATACGAGCAAAGGAGCTCTTAGTTCAGGCACGTCACATTACCTTGGCTTGGATTACACGTCTCCGGGCCGATGTTAGGAATGCAAAAGAGACATTCATCGCGGAAACAGCCGCTAAATACGCTTTTTCGGCTGCATTGCTCTGTCGTAGGACATTCTCCAACCTTACAGAACCAGACACTGTGATGTCAGAGGATGATTTGTCAGCTTTTGTCCAAGCATGTAACGGGCTGAACCGCTCGCCGCTGTTCCAGGTGGCAGAAGCGCTTAAAGACATAGAGATGGAGCAGATGGAGACGATCCTACCAGGCGTCCTGGCA